TTTTGAGGCGCCTGGGTTATTTCAAGCCATCCTTTCCAGAACCCCAACTTCAGTCTGAACACAGGCTCCCCAGCAGCTTCCCATAGCTAATCGCAAACCCAGAGTATCAAAGGCAGTGGAGGCCAGGCAGGTCCCCTGCGGGTTCCTAGGGCATCCCTCTAGGTTTCAAAGACCTCCCTCCTCTATCTCTCACACCAGAAGCTTATCTGGCAGGGCCTGGGGCAGAACTGTAATGAGGCCTGGCTCCTGCCAAGGACAGAGCCTTCCTGCCCAGCTTACTTGGGGCTTCTGCCTCCTGCTTTAGCTCTTTTGAAGCAACGTCATTATGAAGCATATATAACATGCCACCGAATGCAAGGGACGGAAGGGTCATGCACTGTGGATGTGGTCACTAGGCTCAAGAAGGTAGCCATCCAGACTGCTGACTGAGCCCTGCCACCCCTGACTTTCTAGAACTTTGAAGCAAGGATACAGTCTGTAATAAGCTCCACTTCACTCCTGGCCCCTGAAATCCACTGCTCTTGGCTGTGGCAGGGCTTTCTTATGTGTCCCAGAGTCCTACGTGTTTACCTAGTAACCCTCCTGATACAAATTAAACTGTGTTAACTCTAGCAGTTTGATGCTGGATCCCCTGCAGAAGACTGTTGCCATGCTCAATGGGACTGAACCAGCGTCAGTAGTAAAATATCCTAATGGTACTCCCTTAAGGTTTGCAATAACTGTTATCTTCCTTTGGACCTCGTATTGCAAGATACACAGTACTACGAAAGAAGTTCTCTGCCAGAGACTAAAAACCCTAACATGAGTCAGATGTAACAGCTTCCCGGCCCCTCCGTGAGCTTTGGTATTTTGCACAAGCTCAAACAGACCTGAATTCAAACCTGAATCCTCTACTTTGTTAGCTGGGTGACCTTGGCCAAGTTGCACAATCTTTCTGAGTCTGTGTTGTCATCTGGAAAATAAGAACAATACTGTCTATCTCAAAGAGTAGTGATGGATATTAACGATAGAGCCAGCATTAAGCACCAAGGAAAACAACAAAAGCATCAATGAAAGAAAGCATCAACTGTTTATTGTGCCTACTCTGGGCCAGGTACTTTTCTGAGTGCATTATATTTGAACTCAATACTCAGAGTCATGCTATTATCTTCATTTTATAATTGCTAAACTGAGGAACACAGGCTAAGGGACTGGCCCAAAGTCACACAAGTAGTGAGCGCCTGCGCTAGTACATGAGCCCAGGCAGCCTGACTCGGAGGTTTCTTAACCTCAGGATGTTCTTCCTTCTCCTTACCCCAAGCGGGTGCTGACTTTCATGCAGGATTAGCAACTCATATATGCACCTATTGGGTTGTTAATTTGCATACAAGTTGGGGCAAAAGTAGGTTTACAGTTGTGGGTATGTGAAATAGTTTATGCTTGTTATTATTCATTAATTTCTTTGTTATTTCCTACTAGAGGCCCGATGCACGAATTCGTGCCTCCTCCCCCGCCCCCCCCAAGCCGATCAGGCTGTCTCGCCAAGTCCCACTTGGGGCTGGGGGGGGGGGGGGGGGGGAGGGTCGAGGGTGGGTGAGTAGGGACCACAGGAGGTTGGCCAGCCACAGGAGCACACTGATCACCAAGGGGAAGCTTCTGCGTTGAGCATCTGCTCCCTGGTGGTCAGTGCGCGTCTTAGCTACTGGCTGGTCGTCTGGTTATCCAGTTGTAACTGTCACTTAGGCTTTTATATATATAGATATTAACAACTGTAAGCCTACTTTTGTCCCACCTCATATTTGTTTTTGGTATGTTCCTTACTGTGTGTTTTGGGGCAAGTTATATAACAGGTCTGCCCTCAGTTTCCACATCTGTAAAATGTCCTTCCTACATAAAACTGTCAGAAATAAACGAGTTCATCAAAATAAAGGGATGAGAAGAATTCTTGGCACTTAGGACAAGCTCCATATAGGAAGGACCTTTAATGTCCAAAGTCAAGAATCCTGGGCATCAGTGCTTGGTAAAGAAGGTTATGTGGCCGGCGGAATCCAGGAGTTTCAAATGACCCTCCTTCTTCTCCGGCAAACATAGTGCACTTAGAAATAGATTTAAGTTCTGATTCAACCAATGAGTAAACAGGTCCACAGGATTCTGGTTGGAAAGAAATTAGGCCAGGCCTAAGTGAAATCAGACCGAAAGCAAGAATTTTAGTAATTAAAATAGTCAGAACAGTCTGGACATCTGCTGGAGCTTTTCTAGGTTATGAATTGTATTCCACCTACTGGATAAATGTGATGGCTCCTAGCCAAGGAGCTCAAAAAAAATTTTTTTTTGGCCTGGTAAAAATCTTTGAGTGACATAGGTTAAAACCATTTTATTCTGAAGACAGTTGAATACCACAGATTTTTAGAAGTGAATAGGGAAGCTGTTGTGAATGTGCTGGATATAAAACACCACATTAAAGGAAACGCTGTAGAGCAAATAGAACACACTAGCTCATGTCAGCACTTAGGCAATAAATGTTATTTACCACGTTGTATTTACTCATCTCGCATTTAAATTTACACTAAAATGCAAAAAAAAGTGCAATACTCATTATTCTAGCTGTCTTTACATGTTCCATTGGAATATAAAACAGAATTGCACTGCTCAGATTTTGAGGGAAGGGGGAGCTACTTATTTCCCGTCTGTAGCTGCTGCCACAGCCACAGCACCATGTTCCAGTCATGGGATTCATAATATAAATCTCTTGCAGATGATGCCCACAAAAAAAGCTGAAACTGCCATGGATCCCGAAATGCTTCTGAAGTTCTGATGTGTGAGCCCAGAGGCTGGTACTGGGTGTTTCATTCAATGAATGGAACCTATTGGGAAACCTACATTCTTTGGCAGACTTAATGAAGAACTTTCAACCCTTCCTTGACTATACAGTCTTTACCACTGATTTCACGTGTGACAATGCCAAACATTGCACAACTGCCCCAACTTATATCTGAGTGTTTAAATCTATTCTGGCCCGGCCGGCATGACTCAGTTGTTGAGCATTGAAACTATGGACCAGGCGGTCACAGTTCGATTCCCGGTCAGGG